TGCTGCTTTATGAGACAAGGTTTTCTCCTGTGAATTCTCTTTATAAATTTTTTACTCATTTCTTACCCCATGATATTATGTTTTTTCTTTTTTATTCATTTCAAGGACCTCTGCATATTATATTAACATTTGTACATGGGAAATCTTTACAAGATAATCGATACCTCACATGTAGTTTCTATCTCCACTGTGTATGCAGCCATTTCTCCACGGTCTTCTTTTCTCTGCCCTTCTGCCTAGCCCACTTCTATGGCTTAACTTTTATTACCTTTAAATTAGAAGAGATAGGACTATGGAATTAAAAACTTGAGTAGGCCTTGGGTCAATTTTAGTTTAGTTAGAAAGGAGATGAAAATCTTCAAATGGCGTATATAGAGGACTAAGGGGGAGAGACCTGCCTCTTCTAACTTTTCTCGAGGTAACTTGTCTTTCAGATGCATAAATAATGACTGATCATATTTTAGTAAAAAATAAAAGTCATAGACTTTTTATTTAAAAAATGCAGTTAGCTATTTTGGTACTCCAATGCTCAAATGCCTTAACAACTGCTGGTGTGTTTGATTTGTTAATCCAGACATTTGATATTATAAATAGGCTTTTAATGGCTTGAAAAAAAATTAGCACATATGGAAAACTAAGAAAATGGAAAAAGTGATTCTAAACAAGAAGTTGACATTAAGGTCAATTCACATTAAAAATAATATACACTCATGTAGATGGAACTGGTAAAAGAAAGGAGCCAGGGCCTCCTCCCAAGCCTGTGTGACTGACCCTTGAGGAACAGATCCTCAGAAGACCTTAAGTGTAAAAATAAATTGATTTATTTGTGCCAACTATATGATTTTAAACACCCAAAAGGAAAGTATAACCAAAGAGTAAAGTCATCAGCATACATTTCTTTAAGTGTTCAAGAGTTCTTAGACATTAGGCTTAAGTCCATATAAAAATTTATTTAGACAATAAAAAAATACACATTCCTGGTTATTGACTATATACTATTATTATCAGTTCCTGAAAAATTTTCGTCAAACCTTAAACTGGAATGTTTTCTTTCGCAGATGCTATACTTATTTATTTTTTTATTTTATTTATAATTGTCTAGAACAAACAAGCAAACACCACTTAAAGATTCTCATCACAACATGGAAAGGCTTGTGGCTAAAAGATAAGTCAAAGTAGCATAAGCTTATGGAAAGAAACAGAGTTTGAAAATGCCATGTTTTTCTAGACAGCACTTTGGTTCCCAACTCTTGCAAGTGTGTTGAAGGAAGAAAAGCACTTGCTTAATAGTGTTTTATATAGTCAGCTCCTGTGTCTCTGCCCCAAGTAAAAGCTTACCCTTACCTGTTGTTTAATATGCATGTCATACATACCCTGCCTGGCCTTTCACATTCTTCCCTTCTGTTTTCTTCCCTTGATGACACTGACAGTTTTTCTTAGTGCTGAATTAAACTCAGTAAGAATGGAATATTTGGAATATTTTAATGGTTTGGTTATATTTATTCATAACTCCTGGAAATCCTGCTTGAGGTAATCAGCCAGATGAAGAAATTTAGCATTTTATCTTTTACTTTTTAAAACTGTGAATTATAGGGGTTGGGGTCTAAAAAAACTGAATTGTATAAGCTTTTAATTATTTTTAAAATTATTTTATATTTTCTTAAATTTTTGTGATTTTTCCACATTTGGGGACACAAATTAGACTCATTTTTTTGCATAATTAAGGACAGGTTCTAGAAGTGTCATGGTCCTGATTTTTACAAATTATCTTTGAAATAAAGCCAGAATATCAATGCTTGTCTTGGGAATAGATGGGCTTACATTTTACAAAATTGAAAATACTTATGATAAAACAATTGCTATGGTTTTCTCTAGTGATTATTTTTCCAGGGAAAAGCTGTGGACATCATTTTCTTACTTTGTGTTCTAGTAACTCATCTCAAATGATGGTCTTTTTAGGAAATATTTTATTTATTGTTTTTTTGTGTTGTATGAGTATATTGCTTGCATGCTGTTTAAGTGTACCCGTGTTGTGCAATGTCCATGGAGATGAGGAGAGGTCATTGGATCTGCTGGAACTAGAGTTACAGATGGTTGTTAGCTGCCTTGTGGGTTCTGGGATTCCAACCTGGGTCCTCTGCAAGAATATCCAGTGTTCCTAACCACTGAACCATCTCTCCAACCCCAAATAAAGGACTTTTATAATAGCTGATATGAAGTTTTAAATATAGATATGATAGATTCCACCACTAGAAACATTTCATTTGTAGCTTTAGTGCTTCTTTCTTTTGGCAAGTTCTAATTCAGGAAACCAGAAAAATCAATCTTGTTATGCAAAAAGGGAAGTATTTGACAGCCAAGACAATCAGCATTTATGCAAACTGAAAAATATTTGTCTGCCAAAATCATAAACTTTTATGATGATTTAAGAAAATGTACAAAATGTTACAAGACTATGTAAAATTTAAAATCCATTGCCTCTACCTTGTATCTATAAGTCATATTTTTATCTTGTTGTGGATTTACTTTTAATTTTAGTAGGTAGGAGGTACACTTTCATAAAACGATTTTCAGTATAATGGACAAACTTATCTTCCAATCTGTAATGAGATAGACATACAATGTGTTGGAAACAGCAAAAACTCCCACTTATAGGCTATTGCATTTATTTTTCCCTCTAGCCCTTCTATACATGGATCATTTGTTTCTGTTTTTTGAGCTAGGTTGAGAGAGCAGTCAGGCCTGGGGCTCAGTCCTCAGTAGTAAGATACAGGGCTCAGAGGCTTTCGGTGTGCCTTGTGATTTCTTTAGAACTGTTCATACTTTACATCTTGATAACATGTGACAAATTAATGACATTTAATAACAAAGAACAGCATCTCTAAATGTTACATTATAGTGAGTCTCTCTACTTATTTAGATCTATCTTCAGTTCCCTTATTTTTTAAAAGATAAAATTTGTTTAGAAGTAGCAAGATAAAATAGAAGAGGTTGTTTTATGGTTCTTCAGGGACAGAACTTCTGAATGTGACTAATATATTGTATGTACTTAGCATGTCCTTATCAGGTATACAAGTGGGTGACTTCATTAACTAATTGAACAATTAAAGTTCATTCATTACACATGTGCAAAGAGGTTTCATTTGCAGACAAATTTCAAATTTCAAATGATAGACACGAGGTAATCTTGAGTAACCAGGAATAAACTCAAGATACATTGCAGGCTTTGCGTAAGGGTAGCTAGGCTGGTGTATTGGATGCACACATTAAAATTGTATTCAAATACCTAGACCAGATATTTTTACTCTGTGAGTATTCTGACTGTCCAGAAAAGGTTTTAACTTTAAGTATTTACTCTAAAAGTGAGACAAAGTTAACCAGAGGGGTCACCTGAAGAAGAAAATCCTCAAGAACTAGTTTAAGACAGTTGCTCCCAGAAAAAAGTCTTCGGTTAAAGACTTATCAATCCTATTTTTAAAGATTGATTATGTATCTGAGATTTTCTTCTTTTTATCCTTGGAGAAAATGAAAAATAACAAGTCCTCTTCTACTTGAGACTAACCATTCATATACTTCATGACAGTTACTTCTCCCCTGAGCCTTCTCTCTGGACAAATTATGCTAACTCCTTCAGTCTATCCTCATAGGTCCTATTTTTCAACGATTAAATCATCCTACTATTCTTTCCTATGTCTTTTCCAGTTGCTTTAAACCTTTTTAGTAAACCTTTTTAGGAATATAGTTTTAAACGATATCTTTGCATAGATGAGGCACACTAAGACTTCAAAAGGATATTTATTTCTAGCCCTCAAGTCATAGAGGTGGCCACCAAAGTCAGTTGGATAAGAAGAAAAATAGAAACCAAATGAATAATTTAATAACTTAATGGCTCTATATGATCAGAAACAGTAAAAATTATGCTCAGAAAAATATCAAAAGGAGTCATTACAAGTGATTTGAGAAGACACCAAACCACAAAATTATTTTCAAAACAACGGAACATGCCTTTGTTTAGTCTTAAATAACTTGATGATTCTTTTTAGTAACCTTCCCTCTGTAAATGAAAAAGATTGCTGGGTGAGTTCACACTCACCTGTGTATATCCTAGGAGATGCCCACTGCTACCTCACAACAGAGCACAGCAATTCTGCACTGGAGTGAGGACCTCAGATTAATTCAGGGCTAGACCCACTTTTCCTCCCAGCCTAATGCTAAGAGGGACATTTGTGGAATGTGACCTAGTGAAATACTTTCCCCCTTGGCAGAACATGACCACTAGGAGAAGCGTGTGGCTGTCTTATCTTTGTTGATAGAGTGTCCGGTGTTGCTTTGTCAAATCTTCTCTAGAGCATTATTAGGATTTCAGATGACTAAAATACTGTAATTGTTTCAACTACTCTATTTTGTAAAAGGCAGAGGGGAACCCATAATTTTTATACAAAGCAACTCCTCATCCACAGCAATTTCTGTGAGGACAAAGCTCTGCTTTAACAAAAATCTAGAATAAAATTCTCAAAGGGCCTTTCTTGTTTGGATTTAAATACATTGATAGTGAATTTATAATGATTTGACAACTTTAAACTTGTCTTATTTATGTCCAATCCCAAATTCCTGGCATTCACTCCATTCTCTATCTTAGGACGCACTATGAAATTGGGTAAACTATTTCATAGGCTTCCGAAGAGAGAGACATGCAATCACTACACAAAGAAGGTACTATGTTCTTTCCAATAGCCTCCTTATAATCAACGATAAATAACAGGGATCACAACAAAGCCAGCTTACAAGAGCTTTAATTCCCCAGATGGAAAGCTGCACAATTCACCTATTCTTGGTTTATTTTCACTTTAAGGCTTTAGGAAAAAATACAAGTCAGCTCTGCCCATATTGAAAAGCCAGAGGCATATCTCAGATGACTCTTGTACTGAATGCTTTGCAATTGTGAAATATTGTTATTTCGTGCTAACCCCTCCTTGAAAGCTAATGCAGAGTAGTCTTACCATTTTTGCAGACAGGACAACATTGTTCTGGTTCATAGACTGGGTTGACACACTCAGGAACTGCGCAGTCTGCTACAACACAGTGAACTTCATTGCTGGGCTCACAGCGACACCATTCACATGGAGAGGGCTAGGAACAAATCTAAAATTAGCCCCTTTTCTCCTAGAACTTAATGCTTGAACATTCATATGCTGTCAGAAGACAAAACACAGTGTTTATATTGGCTTAACTTCATTTACCACGAGTATAATCCTTCTTCCCCCAATGGAAGGCATTCTAGATGCCCAAGTCAGGAGAATGGCAAAGCACAATTCAAGAATTCATGAATAAGTTCTACCCAGGCATGATTTGTCCTACAGCTTTGCCCCTACTTTCCAGAGACCAGTTCAGGAAGCTAACATGCCACTTTATGGTTTGGTTTCCAGATGCATCAATTGTCCTGACTTCCCCTTGGGAAACAAGAATGATGCTAGGACATGTCAATTCATTCTTGTCATTTTTGCTTCTGAGAAAGAGGAGGATTACCAAGAGATAAGAAAATGTTAAGTGCATACCACACCCTTCTCTGATAACTTGTGCTCATGATGGCCTAGGCTCTACATGGCACATTTTCAGTTTGAATTTTACAAGAAACTTCATTTGGGATTCAAACATCCAAATCTAGCCTCCTGAAGAAATTAGTGAGTACCTTCCATCTTTCCTGCTTGCTTTTATGAGTCAACTGAAATAAAATGATCTAAAAATCACTATTAAATAAGAATCCTAGAAATGGAAAAGTAATTAAGAGAATTCAAAGCTGAAAATAATTTTTATATTTATAGTACTTACCAACCAAGAATGACTTTGGGATTTTCAGTTTCCTTTCTAGGAACTGTCAGCCTGTGGCTCTTTCATCTTTGATAAGTTCTAGTTCTCCTTCCTCATGAAATCTGGAACTCCCAGAAGTCAAACAATGCCCACCCTTCTCTAATCAAGCAGATGGTTCTTAGAAAGTCCTGCCTCTATCAGGGTGTTCTTTACCTGCCATGATTCTAGTGAAACCTTCTCTGTTTTTTTTTTTTTTTTTTTTTTTTTCTCTTTTCCTTTAAAA